GTCTACATAGCGAGTTCCAGGACAGCCAGGGCTGTACAGAGAGACCCTGTCTCAAAAAACAAACAAAAAAGTAAAGAGTGGTTGCACATGACTGTACTCCCAGCACTTACTTGGGAAGCAACAGGCAGGAGAATCGGAAGTTCATCTCAAAAAAGAAACAGGAAAATATTCAATAATAATGTTTATAAAAAACTTTATGAAATTCATAATTTGATCAGAAATGTACTGATTTCTCAAAGTAATGGTTATTCAGCTGACTTTGTTCTCTACGTAGACCTTCCCGTAGATATTCTACATTACATGTGGGAAGTGATCCAATCCAACACAGGCTTTGAGACATACTCTTACCATGTTGTCCTAGCTGAAACTTGCTCTGCAGACCACACTGGCTCTCAACTCTGCCTCTAAATGTTTTGTTTTTAATTTATGTTTTCTATGGTATATTAATACTCTCTAACTTCTTAGTGTTTGAGAATTTCATACAGGCAAATACTGTGTTTTGACTAAGTTCACCCTTCACTCCCTCTCTTCCAATTTCTTCCTTACCCTTCTACCACTATCTAGCACCAACTTCCTGTGTTTGTTTTTCTTTTCTTTTTTTTTTTAAACCCACTGAGTCTACTTAGAGCTGATAGTACGTGCTTGGATATAGGGAATCACCTGGAACATGGACAGTCTCTCAGGGGCACATCCTTAAAGAAAACCGACTCTGCCTCTCTCGGCAGCCATCAACAGCTTCTGAGCCAGGAGCTCAACTCTGTGACCCACCTCCACATGCTGGGATTTTGTCTGGATGATATCATGCAGGTCCTGTGCATGTTGTCACAACTGCTGTAAGCTTATTGCAAATGGCCTGCTGTGCCCAAAGTTTCCTAAATGTTAATGGTTTACTGTCAATATTCTGCCACTCCCTATTGGGTAACTGCAGTATGATTTCTGGAGGCAAAATACATCACTAATTTACACCATCAGTAATTATGTGACTGACCCCAAAGTGACTAATGACTGAGGGTGTCTTACAATGGAGAGGTCTGACAGACGCTGCCCACGTCCTTTAAGTCTCCAACTCACACTGGGCTCCTGGGACAGCAAGTACTGCCAGTGTAGTAGTTTTGTCTAGGGCAGCAGCTCTCAACTTGTGGGTCGTGACCCCTTTAGGGATCACCTAAGACCATTAGAAAACACATATATTTACGTTATAATTCATAACAGTAGCACACTTACAGTCATGAAGTTGCAATGAAAGTAACTTTATGGTTGGGGGTCACCTCAACATGAGGAACTGTATTAAAGGGTCGCAGCATTAGGAAGGTTGAGAACCACTGGTGACTCTAAGGTGATTAACTAGAAACTAAACATACAGGGCAAAGCAATAATCCAAATTGAAGTGTGTTCTCCAATACAAATGGTCTGAACTTTTTGTTGTTGTTGTTTTGTTTTCCGAGACAGGGTTTCTCTGTGTAGCCTTGGCTGTCCTGAAACTCACTCTATAGACCAGGCTGACCTCAAAATCACAGAAATCCACTTACCTCTGCCTCCTGAGTGCTGGTTTAAAGGCATAAGTCACCACCACCTGGCATATGTCTGGACTCTTAAAAGACCAAACCCACTATTTAATCTTGACAGTGTAAGAACAACTAGAAAGAGTATCATTGGAATAACTGGGCCTAAAAGCCCCATGCGTAGACCTACTCAAAATACGGGCTGCAAAACTGTTATTGGTGAAAAATGAGAAAATCTTTAAAACCAAAAGCCATCTCTTACTGGCTTAAGACAAGAGGTACATCAACTTCATATGGAAAAACAAAAGACCCAGGATAGCTAAAAGAATCCTGTATAATAAAGCAATCTCTGGAGGTATCACCATCCCTGACATCAAGCTCTACTTTAGAGCTATAGTAATAAAAACAGCTTGGTACTGGTATAAAAACCGACATACAGACCAATGGAATCGAATTGAAGACCCTAACATTAATCCATGCACATATGAACACCTGATTTTTGACAAAGAAGCCAAATGGAAAAAAGAAAAGTATCTTCAACAAATGGTGCTGGCATAACTGGATGTCAATATGTAAAAGACTGCAAATAGATCCATGTCTGTCACCATGCACAAAACTCAAGTCCAAGTGGATCAAAGACCTCAACATAAATCCAGTTACACTAAACTTAATAGAAGAGAAAGTAGGAAGTACTCTTGACCGCATTGGCATAGGAGATCACTTCCTAAATATACCACCAGCAGCACAGACACTGAGCACAACAATTAATAAATGGGACCTCTTGAAACTGAGAAGCTTTTGTAGGGCAGAAGACACGGTCAATTAGACAAAAAGATAGCTTACAGAATGGGAAAAGACCTTCACCAAGCCCACATCTGACAGAGGATTGATCTCCAAATTAAATAAAGAACTCAAGAAACCAGACATCAAAATACTGAACAATCCAATTTAAAAATGGGCTAAAGAGCTAAACAGAGAATTCTCAAAAGAAGAATCACAAATGGCTAAAAGACATCTCAAGAAAAGCTCAACATCCTTAATCATCAGAGAAATGCAAATCAAAACGACTCTGAGATACCACCTCACCCCTTTCAGAATGGCTAAGATCAAAAACACTAATGACAGTCAATGTTGGAGAGGATGCAGAGCAAAGGGAACACTCCTCCACTGTTGGTGGGAATGCAAACTTGTACAACTACTGTGGAAATCAGTATGGCGGTTTCTCAGAAAATTGGGAATCGATCTACCTCAATACCCAGCCATACCACTGTTGGGCATATACCCAAGGAATGCTTAATCATACCACAAAGATACATGCTCAACTATGTTCACAGTAGCATTAATTGAAATAGCTAGAACCTGGAAACAACCTAGATGCCCATCAACTGAAGAATGGATTAAGAAAATGTGGTACATATACACAATGGAGTACTACTCAGCAGAGAAAAAAATGACAGCATGAAATTTGCAGGCAAATGGATGGAACTAGAAAATATCATCCTGAATGAGGTAACCCAAACCCAGAAGGACAAACATGGTATGTACTCACTCATAAGTGGATTCTAGACATAAAGCAAAGAACAATCAGACTGCAACCCACAGAACCAAGGAGGCTATGTAGTAGGGGGGACCCTAGGATGACTGTGGCTTATATTAAGTTTTGGTTTTACCTAATCACTGGGCAAGCCTCAATGAAACATTTCACTATTAGGATAAGAATTTGTACTGTATCAAGCTAACAGAAAAATAAATAAATAAATAAATAAATAAATAAATAAATAAATAAATAAATAAATAAATAAATAAATGAGAATGGGGGAGAGACAAGAGGTACAGTAACTATGAGTGTGGAGATACCTGTTGGATGTATGCATTATTCATACTTAGCCATTAGAATCATTACATTATGAAGAACAGAGATCACTTGTATCAAGGTCTGCCAAGCCTGGCAAACTGATTCAGTTCCCAGGACCCCAGGGTACAAAGAGAGCCAATGGCCACAAACTGTCCTCTGGCCTCCATACACGTGCTGTGAGTGCCCACACCCACACCCACACATAAAGACACACAGCACTGAACAGTGGTGAATCTGAACGACAGAATGTGAACTAGGTGAGTATTCACCACAATATTATTCTTGCACCTCTGCCTTAAGTGCATTTCACAAAAGAAAATGTTGTTGAGGAAGAGTTTTAAATGAATGAATTTGGTACTAGAGAGATGGCTCAGAAGTTAAAAGCATTGACTGCTCTTCCAGAGGACCTGAACTCGATTCCTAGCACCTACATGGCTCACAACCATCTGCAACTCCAGTTCCAGGAGAACTGACACCCTCTTCTTACCTCTTCAGGCACCAGGCATGTACACGGTACACAGACTTACACACACGCAAAAGACCCACACACATAATATAATTAAAAATAAATACAATAAGCATTGTTGGGCACAGGAGCTCATGCATGCAGTCTCATCACTCCAGAAGTTGAGGAAGATAGAATATTGTAACTTCAGCCACCTAGGACCACAAAGTGACTCCAGGACAGTTTGGGCCACAGTGAGAACCAATCTAAAGAAATTTTTAAAAGTTGTGCTCTGTACTATTTATAAAACTGAAAATATAAAACTTCACTTTCCAAAATGTATTTTCACTGGATAAAAACAGGCAATACTGTGTGTTAATGGGTTATATACCATAAATCAACCAAATATGGACAGAAAACATTTAGGGGAAGAAAATCTATCTGCAAAGAGCATGTACATATATTTTTCTTGGCACTAGTCCCCACACACTGTGCTACTTTTATGGCATTTACACTTTATTAAGTATATTTAATGTACAGAAGAGGTTGTACATAGGTTATATGCTGACACTATGTAATTTAATATATGGGACTTAAGAATCTGAGGACTCGCTAGGTGGTAGTGGCACATGCCTTTAATCCCAGCACTTGGGAGGCAGAAGCAAGTGGATCTCTGTAGGTGGAAGTTTGTTCCCAAATACCCAGCAGTTGCTTCTTAAATAGTTGACTAAGAGGCTTAATATTATTTATAAATGCTCAGCCAGTAGCTCAGGCTTATTACTAACTAGCTCTTACATTTAAATCAACCCATAATTCTTATCTATGTTTAGTCATGTGGCTTGGTACCTTTTCTGAGCACTGTATTCTCATCTTGCTTCCTCTGCATCTGGCTGGTGACTCGTGACTCTGCCCTTCCTCTTCCCAGAATTCTCCTAGTCTGGTTGCCCATCTAAACTTCCTGCCTGGCTACTGGCCAATCAGTGTTTTATTAAACCAATAGGAGTGACAAATCTTTACAGTGTATAAGAACATTATCCCACAGCAGATCTCTGAGAGTTTGAGGTTAGCCTGGTCTACAGAATGAGTTCTAGGACATCCAGGGCTACACAGAGAAACCCTGTGTTGAAAAACCATAAAAACAAAAACAAAACACCACCTTGTAAAAGCACTAGTTTCAAACCCATGGAAAACCTCTTACCTCACTTCTTCACCAGCGAAGTCAAACACCTTGGTAATTTTCACTTTTTCTGATTCTTTAGGTTTCTCCAGCTCATCTGCTTTCGCCAACAGTTTATTTGAACTAGTCTCTTCAGTCTCCTCTGCTGCCTAAAGGGTAAGAAATGGAATCAGGCCTGTAGTGACATACACATTTAAGTGCAGCACTCAGGAAGCAGAGACTTGAGGATCTCTGCTAGTTTGAAACCAGCCTGATCTACATAGTGAGTTCCAGGCCAGCTAGGGCTACACAGTGAGACTCTGTCTCAAAAATAAGTATATCAATCAGTTCCATCAAGGTATAAGACTGAAAGAACTGTTTGAACATGCTGTTTAGGGTTGCTCTGCCGTGGTTCATTTCCAATCAGTTAAAAATTACTAGAGGACCTGGAGATGGCTCAATTGTTAAGAGCATTAAATTCCAGGTTAATTTTCAGAACTCATAATGTGGCTCACAACCACCTATAACTCCAATTCCAAAAAAATCTGATGCCCTCTTCTGGCAACCATGGGCACTACATGTATGGGGTGCAAAGATACACATGCAAGCAAATTACCTGTCCACATAAAATAAAATAAAACAAAACAGGCTTATTGGAGAGGTTGGAAAGATGACTCAGCAGTTAGAATTTTTGAAGAGGCAGGGTGGTGGTAGTTCACATCTTTAATCCCAGCACTTTGGAGGCAGAGACTTGAGGATCTCTGCTAGTTTGAAGTCAGCCTGGTCTACATAGTAAGTTCCAGGCCAGCTAGGGCTACACAGTGAGACTCTTGTCTCAAAAAAACAAAGAAAAAAGAAAAAGAAAAAGAATTTTTGCAGAGGACCCAAACACAGTTCTTAGCACCCAAGCCACATTAAGGTACCACTTACCTTTGGAGGCCAGAAGAGGACATTAAATACCCTAGAGCCAGAGTTACAGGCATTTGTCAACTACCTGACATGGGTGCTGAGAACTGAACTCAGGTCCCTTGGAAGAGCATTAAGTGCTTTTAAGCACAGAGCCATCTCTCCAGCTCAACAAATAATCTTTAAAGAGTTTCTAAAGGTCTACTGACAATATATCTGATTGAAACAGCTCATTTCCCCTGCTGCTAAGGAATGCTTTGCTTTCCACTTAGTAAAGTCAGTATCAAAAGACATCAGGTTTGCTTTTTGCTTTGAAATTCAAATCTCAGCCAGTTTGTAAATTAAAAAAAATAGGAAGCTGCTGGGGAACTGAGGGTGTTTCTGGAGAGGTCTCTATCCAATCAATCTCTCTCAACTTACCTTAACTTGTGAACTTGGAGCTGCTTTTGACTTTGGTCCCACATCATTAAGGAAGCTGGCCCACAGTTCATCTTCCTTCTTCTTCCTTGCATTCTCGGACCCAAGGCCTCCTTGCTCCTCTTCATCTTCTCCACTACTACTACCTCCAGATTCTTCCTTGTCGTCCTCGTCTTCTAACAAGAGGCCACTTTGTTTTCTCTTTCTAATCACCAACAGCCACCCAGAAAAAGACAAGACAGAATGCAAAATTATTCATTCCCTTTCCTCAACCCTTACACACTTGAAAGTTTAAATCTGTGATTACTAATAACACAATAGGAGACAGAGCAGGTGAACTGAGATTTAATTGTTTGAAAGTATTTATTCACTTACATAATGTGTATGTGTGTGTTCCTGAGTTCATGTATGTGCACCACATGCACACAAGAGCCTGTGGAGGCCAAAAGAGGGTGTCAAATCCCCTGGAACTAAGGTTACAGGCAGTTGCAAGCCTCCATGTACACGATGATAACTGAACCCAGGTCCTCTGCTAGAGTAGAAACTGTTTTTAACCTCTCAGCCAACTCTCTAGTCCTGACTTAATTTTTTTGATTGTTTTTCAAAATAAGGTTTCTCTGTATAGCAGCCCTGGTTGTCCTGGAACTTCCTCTGTAGACTAGGTTGGCCTTGAACTCACGAGATCTATCTGCCTCTGGAGTGCTAGGATTAAAGGCATGTGCCACCACAGCACAACTAATTTTTTTAAGAATATTTATTTATCAACAATAGTACAATTTAGAATTATACCATACAGTGAAAAAAATACCCACAATTTTCTCAGTGTTTCCAAATTCTTGGCATGTTACTCTTTGAAGTTCAGAAACAATAAATCAGTATCCCAGTATTCTCAGGGTTTTTTAAATTGTATTTTAAACATATTTCTTTTTTTTTTTTTTTTTTGGTTTTTCGAGACAGGGTTTCTCTGTGTAGCTTTGCGCCTTTCCTGGAACTCACTTGGTAGCCCAGGCTGGCCTCGAACTCACAAAGATCCGCCTGCCTCTGCCTCCCGAGTGCTGGGATTAAAGGCGTGCGCCACCAACGCCCGGCTTTAAACATATTTCTAATAATCTTCACAGTCTATAATTTGAATAGCTGGAATTCTTATTTAAAGAATAAAACACATTGAGTCTAGTAGTACTTACAAAGTTTAACTACATCCTGAAGGAACAGTTAATGAAAATTTAAAATTCAGGCCTTACCTGCCTTGCAAATGTGCTATGCCTGGAAAGCAACTGAAGGGCTCTCATGACATACACTGTATACACTGTGTGTGTGAACTCTTCGGTAAGCACTGTCTCTTTATTACTCCCCTTCTTCTTAATACAGGGGAGCACTGAGCTCACTTGAAACTTAAATTTAGTATGCCAAGACTATTATTCTCACTAAGGAAACACCTGAGGCAGGCATGGTGGTGCACACCTTTAATCTGAGCACTCAAGGAAGCAAAGGCTTGAATTTTCCTGTGAGTTGGAGGCCAGGTTGGTCTACGTAGTGAGTTCCAGACCAGCCAAACTACAATGTGAAAACCTGTCTCCAAAACAAAACAAAACAAAATGGCAAATAAAAGAAAAAAAATAAATAAAAACCCAACAACTAAAAACAGATAAAAAGAAAATACCCAAGATCACCTCATGAGATTAATCTGTTCAGAAATGGGGTTCTATACACGTATGTGCTAAACACTTTTTTACTTCTAAAATCCACTCCATTTGGAGAACAAAGTCTACTCATTCTCAGATTTACTTGTATCATGTTCTTCTACACACTCTAAAAAATATAGCAATTTCATGCACCTCCAAAAGAAACAAGTTCAAATACAGAAAAGGGAACTGGACCTAAGACTTCAAAAGTCCATGTTATACTATTTGGACCTTGAAAACATCATATAGTACTTAATGTTCATTTTCTCCTTTTCATAAACTTTGATACCCATGACAGAAACAACAGTGATAGAGAGAGTCCTACAGAAGATGCCTTTATCTGAGTTATAACCTGTGATTTTCCTATTTTGGGATGGAACTGTAATTCAGAACATGGCCTGTGGAAAATCAACTGAAAATAATTTAATTTACAGCCTTAGATCAAACAATTCTACACCTTCAAATCTGACTTACAAAAATCCTTGTACCAGTATAACAACATGTTCTGCGAATGTTTTCTGAAGCCTTTTGCTGTGACAAAGACCATACAATCTAATTGCTCCTCAATAACGAGATACTTAAGTCAAGTCAGGCCTATTCATAAAGTGTGACACTCCAGTCCCTGAAAGAACAAGGTATGTCTAGGACTGCCATGGTGTCCTTTAACATAGTGAGACAGTGAGAATTGTCAGGGTGGTGCCTCCCTGGAATTACAGTCCTGCTCAGAAGGCTGAGACAAGAAGCTCAAGAATGGCCCAGCCTGGACAACACAGTGAGAGAGCAAGAGTGAGCGTGGTATGCAGTGTGCTACCTGTTGTATTATTTTTAAATAAAGAGCGCAGGAAATATACTCCCACACTGAGTATGACAGTAACTAAGGTAACAAGCTTTTTGGGATAAGAACAGAAAATGAATCCTGTAGTAACAGAGGACTGTTTTAACTATGTGCGTTATTTTACCCAGTTATTTTTAAAAGTCCTAAAAATTTTTAAATTTTTTGCAAAGGCCAAGTTTTTTGGAAACAATTTGCTTATTTTTAGTTTATGTGCATTGGCGTTTTGCCTGTTTTGTCTGTGTCAGATCCCTTGGAACTGCAGTTAGAGACAGCTGTGAGCTGCCATGTGAGTGCTAGGAATTGAACTCCAGTCCTCTGGTAGAGTAGCCAGCTCTCTTAACTGCTGAGCCATCTCTCTAGCCCATTTTGTTTTTGTTTATCAAGACAGGGTTTACCTATGTAGCACTGGCTATCCTGGAACTCACTTTGTAGACCAGGCTGGCCTCGAATTCACAGAGATCTGACTGCCTCTACCTCCCAAGTGCTGGGATTAAAGGCGTGCGCCACCACTGCCCAGCTGAAGGCCAAGATTTTAATTTCAGAATATCAGCAAGTATGAATCTCCTTCATACAGAAAGGTGTTAAAAACCTTGGCAATAGCTGAGTAGAGATGTCGAGGTCTACAAAGCAAGTTCCAGGACAGCAGGACTGTTACACAGAGAAACTGTCTTGAAAAACCAAAATAAAAGAAATTTAAGCCAGGTGGTGGTGGCACACGCCTTTAATCCCAGCACTCAGGAGGCAGAGCCAGGCAGATCTCTGTGAGTTCAAGGCTAGCCTGGTCTACAGAGCGAGATCCAGGACAGGCACCAAAACTACAGAGAAACCCTGCCTCGAAAAAACAAAACAAAAAATAAATAAATAAATAAAAATAAAAAACACCCAACAACAACATAAATCAAAAAACTCTGGCAATAATGCTAGGTGTAGTGGTTCATGCCTATAATCCCTACAATCCAGGAGGCTGAAGCTGGAGGCTAGGCCAGCCTGTGCTACAGCACACACACACACACACACACACACACACACACACACACACACGCACGCACGCACGCACACATACACATACAAACACACACACACACATACACACACACACAATAAACGTGAAAAGACAGACAGACATCTATCATGAGAGCAATCTCAGCAATGAAGATAGCTCTTATGTAAAGGCCTTGAGGGCAGCATCACCTGGCTGGAATGCTCTGAGCCTTCCTTCTTTTCCCTTTGGTTTTCTCAGCCTGCTCTTCACCATCCACTTCGTCTTCCTTCACTAATTCATTGACATCATCTTCACTGTACTCTCCACCTGAAACCATGTAACAGGGTGGTCAGATGGCTGGGATGAAGACTTTCACAAAGCATGAAGAACGGAGTCCGAGCCAGGCATGGCTGTGCACACCTGATGCTCAGTACTTGGGAAGTGGAGGCAAGAGAACCACACGTTCAAACTTTTTCTCCGTTACACAATGAGGTTGAAGCCAGCCTGGGCTACATGAAATCTGGTCTTAAAAACAAAAGCAAACAAACAAGTAAACAAACAAACAAACAAAACCCCTAAAACAGCAGCCACAATAAAACAAATAAAAAACCTTAGCCCTTGTAAGATAAATATTTCTGAGTTGGGCATAGCAATGCACGCCTTTAAATCCCAGCACTCTGGAGGCAGAGGCAGGTAGATTTCTGAGTTCCAAGCCAGCCTGGTCTATAGAGCGAATTCCAGGTAAACCAAGGCTACACAAAGAAACCCTGTCTTAGAAAAGAGAAAGAGAGAGGAGGGGGGAAGAGAAAGCAAGCGGGTGAGAGACAGAAATTTCTGTTTATTGAATGATGCAGAATCAATATCACTACAATAGCAGTGAACATCACTGAAATTCAAGTGGTATTTTTTATATAATTTACATTATAAAGGGTTTCCTTGTGAGAGTAAAAAATTAGTTCATTTCAGGCAAGTAAAAGAAAAGGTGGAATCAAAACACCCAGCTGCACCACAAAGTCAGGGCCTGAGTTAATAATAGGTTGTAATAAGGGCCAAGTAGGGTGATGCACCTGAATTGAGGCCAGCCCAATCTATATAGCACATAGGCTGGCCAGGGCTTTGTAAGAGACCCTGCCTCAAAACAAAACAAGAACAGGTCATATTAAATGGACTGAGCTGGGTCTGCAGCTCAGTGCTAAAGCACCTGCCCATTTTTTAAAAAAAAAACAACAGGTGGCAGGAAGGAAAACACTCTACCTACAGACAGCAAAACTCAGAAGCGACAGATTTGCTCTACGACCCGGTACCTCCAAAGCATGGCAGCAATGCCTATGATTCCAGACATGAAGGTGGAGGGCAAGAAGGCCAGACTGGACTTTCATCCTGGCTAGGAGTATCTGATATAAAAAACAATATAAGGAACTGAGTGTGTGTGGTGGTGCACGCCTTTAATCTCAGCACTTGGGAGGCAGAGGATCTCTGTGAGTTCGAGGTCAGCCAGGTCTACAGAGCTACTTCTAGGACAGGTTCCAAAGCTACACAGAGAAACCCTGTCTCGAAAAGCAAAAAAAAAAAAAAGTGTTTAAAAAGCTATGTATAAGCATAGCTATGCGTGAGTACAGGTGTATGTACAGTACAGAGCTAGAGCTAGAGTTATAGGAGGTTTTTAGCTACCCAGTGTGGATGCTAGGAACCAAACTTGGGTCCACTGCAAGAGTACCTCACTTTTTTAATCATTGAGCTATCCCTCCAGACCCCAGAATAGGCATCTTGGGTTTTGACAGGCATATTTTGATTCACCTTAGAAGCTGTCTTACCTAGGGTTTTTATTGCTGTGATTAACCATGACCAATTACACAGAAACCCTGTCTCGAAAAACAAAATACCAAACCAAACCAACACATCATGACCAAAAGCAACCTGAAGAGGAAAGGGTTTATTTCACCTTATAGTTTACAGTCCATCATAAAGGAAGTCAGGGCAGGTACCTGGAGACAGGAACTGATGCAGAGGCCATGGAAAGGCGGTTGTTACTGGCTTGCTCCCCACAGCTTGCTCAGCCTGCTTTCTTACAGCACCCAGGACCACCAGCCTGGGGGTAGGACCACCCACATCAACCATCAATCATGAAAAGGCGCCACAGGCTTGCCAACAGGCCATCTGGTCGGGCATTTTCTAATTGAGGTTCCCACTTCCCAAATGACTCGGGCTTGTGCCACGTTGACACAAAACCAGCCAGAAAAGAAGCACTGATGAAATGGACTAAAATTGCTGTTATTCACAGAGAACAAATCAATGTTTTGGAATATTCAAAGATGATAACTGAATGCAATAGAAACAAAAAGTCCCATAACAATAAAATACATGTTTCTATTTGCCTTCTTTCAAACAGTATTTCTGTTTTGGGTTTTTGTTTTGTATTGAGACAGTCATGTGTATCCCAGGCTGGTCTCAAACTCACAGTGCAGCTGAGACGGCCTTGAACTTCTGGTCTTCCCACCTTTACCTCCCAAATGCTAAGATTAAGGAAGTGTGTTCTCACACTTGGGCGTCAAACAGCACACACACCCTACTTCTTCACAATAGACTCTTCTCAAGAAGGCAATGGGTCTTGCTAGACCTAAAACTGAACGTAAGATTTTTATTCCACAATATGGTACAGGTAAGGGTCCTCAGGTTCTCTCTCCAAAGCCACCTTCCCACCTCCACTGTCCGTGGTTGACTTCTCATCCCTCATCTCCTCCTTCCACAAGAGGACAGTGTTCGGAGGAGCACGACCATATATATTCTTCGCATCTCTCCTCTGCGGCCATCTGGGACAAACGTTCATTCTCCACACCTTTCACCTTGTTGCTGTGGGGGTGGCTGACAGGGCTCCAAGTTCCCTGGGCTCACATGGAACAGGAGGGAAAGAGTGAAGGAGCTTCGGGGCACATGCTGCTGGCCTTCTCCAGCTGCTGCTCTCCTCCCAGAGTGCACCTCTTTGAAAGGTGCCTGTGAGGAGCAATAAGGGAGACTGCCTAGGTTCCCACCCAGCTAGCTCAACCACCACTTTTTTTTTTTTTTTAAAGACAGGGTCTCACTATGTACCTTTGGCTAATATGGAACTCACTATGTAGACCAGGCTAGCCTCAAATTCATCTCTGAGCCTGTCTGCCTGCCTGCTTCTGCATCCTAAGTGCTAGGATCAGAAGCATGTGCAATCACACCCAGCACTCAGCTACTATCTAGACTGGTGACTTTCAACTATTTGCTTATGCTTTCTGATCCTCAGTCTTTTCATCTGTAAAATGAATGGTACAAAAGCACACGCCTGGAAGCACTGTGTGATTAGGTTAGCAGTGAGTTATCATTCAAGTATTTTAAAGGTATGTGCACACAAAAGGCATTCTTGAACAGGGAATAGTTAACCTCTTTCTAAATAGTGAAACACTCATGTCCTCTCAGCCTCCTTAAAGACAGATAGCCGGGGGCTGGAGAGATGGCTCAGAGGTTAAGAGCACTGGCTGTTCTTCCAAAGGTCCTGAGTTCAATTCCCAGCAACCACATGGTGGATCACAACCATCTGTAGTGAGATCTGGTGCCCTCTTCTGGCCTGCAGGGGTGTGTGCAGACAGAACACTGTATACATAATAAATAAATAAATCTTTAAAAAAAAAAAAAAAAGACAGATAGCCAAGAGCTAGAAGAAAGACCCTTCTCATCATTCCTACTTCAACACCACAGTGGGAGTATCTAGCGTAATATGTCAAGCAATAGAAATACAAAAGTATCAGAAAAAGACTAAAGCTTCCTATTCAGCCTTGACATAATTAGTTATCTACCTGGAAAATACCATGGAACCTACAAAACCTCCAGAACTAATATATGGGTTTAACAAGTTTGAAGAATGCAAGGTTAGCATGCCAAAACCCAAAGTGTTATGTTCTTGTGTTCTAGCAATAAATAAACTGGAAATAAAAGACCTACATAGAGAGGAGAGCATGGTCACAGACTGGTAGAGAAGACTGTGATCCATTCTCCTCACACTGACCTACAGATTCAGTGCGATTCCAAACAAAATCCAGGCACAGCATCTGTGGGCAGACTGAAGCCATGAGCTGCAGGGGGACCTGTCTGGGTGGAGGCAGGCGGGCGGGGGAAGAACATGGTAACTACAACCGTGCAGAAGGCCTAATACAGGCTCAACACAACAATGAAGATTCCAGAAAAACTTCCGGGGAGAAGTTTCTAGAAGGCCCACTGACTACCAACCAAGTCATGCCAACGTGTATGAGGACACTGGTGACAATCCAGCATCAGGAATATGGCGGCAAAGAGAAAGTCCTTCGGAGACAGAGATCCTCCACAGGGAGCACTGGGGAGCAAACCCGAGATACTGCACAGGCCAGGCCAGCCCTCCCCCATCTCCGAGCTGCATCTCCAGACCACACGACAGACTTGCTGGCGACACTGGGACCCAGCAAGCCAAGCAACACTTTCACAATTCTGATGGAAAACTACTCCCAGCCCAGGCTTCTGTTATCAACCAATCATCAAACAGGCCTGAGGTAACGTTTAGACATTCTAGGTCTCAGAACAAAGTTTCTGCCTTGCCTCCTTCCTCAGGAAGCCATTAAATGTTCTCTTCTCATGCTGGTGGAACATGTCAAAAGAGAAGACCGCACACACCGAGAATGAGTGAATCTGAGGCTGGCACGGGCCACACCTTGAATTACTGCATAGGTGGAGGGAGGAGGGTCAGGAACTCAAAGTTAAACCAGTTACATACGGGCTTCAAGGCCAGCCGGTCCATGGGAATACAGAAAAGGAACAGAGCAGACCGGAAAGAGTGGTCGTGATGGTGGAAGACCCAAGGTTTAAAATTCCAACAGGCAGAGAAAGAGAAACCACACCAAATGAAGCAGGCTTGAGGCAAAGACAAACGTCCAAGAGACGGAGATAAAACCCAAGGAATCCAAGTATGCTGGGCGATGATTTTGGCAAGTCTGAAATGCCAGAGCGTGGACAACTAGGTTAAAATGAGAAACAGCAAGATGGCTCAGTGGATAGAGCACTTGCCACCAGCCCTGACAACCTGAGCTCTGTCCCTGGAAGCCACGTGGTGGAGGACACAGCACCCTACTCCATGTTGTCGTCCACCTCCTGCATGCACACTGTGGTCACACACACTAACACATGTAAAACAAAACAGAAACCACTAATTCCAGAGAAAGGTAGTCTAGCTGAAGCAATCACAGCACACCCCATGGCTCAGCTGTGAACAGGTGGCCACACAATCAGCAAAAAGGTAAACGGAATACTTATCTAATCAAAACAGGTACAATGGCAGGTGAGGGTAATTCCGTTGAAGAGGAATTGAAGAAAGGTTGAAGAATGTAAGCTGGAGACAGGGGAATGAGATACGGTGCTAAAAAGAAACTCACTATGTATGACTTAACTCAAAAGAAACTAGCAGGCCGCGTGGTGATGATGAACACCTTTAATCCCAGTGCTTGGGATGCAGAACTCGGTGAGTTTGAGGCCAGCCTGGTCTACAGAGCAAGTTTCAGAACAGCCTCCAAAGCTACAAAGCTAAACCCTGTCTTGAAAAAAAAAAAAAAAAGAAAGAAAGTAGCACAGCCAAGTTAGAAAAGGGGAAAGCAGTTTCCTTAAATGGACTGAAATATCCGACTATGTTTGAGTATGTGTATGCATAACTTTCATTAAAATGAGATGAAGACTGATTTCCAAAAATGATCACTCTGGTTGTCGGCAAAAGAACAGTGTTAGAGAGGATGGGATGGGGTGGGGATGGCTTGGAGGCACAGCACTTGGCTTGCTTGTTTGAAACCTGGGTTTTATTCCTCAGCTTCTGAGGGTGAAGAAAGAGTAAATGTTGGTAGGTGGAATGAGGAAAAAGTCAGAAAATCCTGAACACTCCTAGTGAAGGACGATGGTAGTCTAGAATGAAATGACAGCCATGAAATTGGCCAGGTAACTTTCCAGATACAACAAAAGCTTTAGATTTTATACCCAAGGAATGCTGATTCATACCATAAAGATACATGCTCAGCTATGTTCATAGCAGCACTATTTGTAATAGCCAGAACCTGGAAACAACCTAG